AAGATTGGTGGGCGATTTATCAACAATCTGCGTTATGCGGATGACACAACCCTGCTTGCTGAAACTGAAGAGGACCTGAAGAGCCTGCTGCAGAGCGTCAAGGACCTACAATATGGATTGAGGCTCAACGTCAAGAAGACAAAGATTCTCACCACTGGACCAATTGGCAACATCAGGATGGACGGTGAAGAGATTGAGATTGTACACAGGCACTTATGAGACACCAGCACATGTGATTGCGGCTAATTATACCAGCAGAGTTTTGGTAATTACAATTGGGTTCTATAAAGGGCACTGCTGCTGTTCCTATTGCGAGATCTATCTGATGAGTATGTGCTTGGGAAGCAGTCATGATTATGATTCCTATCATCTGGGGTACAGCAATGAGATAGAATGACTGAAAGCTCTTTCAGTCAACTTTCCTGCTTCCCCTCTCCTTGGACACTCATTCACATTTTATTAATTATCCATTTATTTTTACAATAATTCTCTTCTGCAGTATTTGTTCCCTTATAGTGTTGGCTATAAGAAGTACACAAGTTTTCAAGTCAGTCAGTGAAATTTACATAAACACATTGTTGAATTTTTTTATCCTAATAATATTTTAAAACTACTCACCACATTTTTATTATTTTTTCTCTACACAGGAGATAAAGTCCTCACACTCATCCTTCCACAGTGTGGAGAATGCAATTTCTGCTTGCATCCCTGTGGCAACTTCTGTCTGAAGCAAGAGTTAGTAGATTTGTTTCTTAACCTTTTGCTAAATTGCTCCTATTGTAAAAACATTGACTTGTAATTTACTCACTTCTATTTTGCAACTTTGTGTGTCTCTGTGGTTCCTGGGTTCCTGTTGTGATGGAACAGTGTTCTACCTTCTTCTGGATTAATGTTGGATGGGACCAGCAGATTTACCTGTAAAGGAAAAACGATTTATCACTCTTTCCGCACAAGCACATTCACTGAATATACAGTTGTGCCTGAGATTGCAGTGGTAAAAATTGATGATGCTTCTCCTATGGATAAAGTTTGTGTCATAAGCTGTGAAGTGCCTACAGGTTATGGGGCTGCTGTTCATTCAACCAAGGTGAGGAGGTTACTTGTGTCTTAGCATATGTTATTTTGTTGATGTGTGCTATCAAGTCAACATCAATTTATAGCTGACTCTCCAGCAGGTTTTCAGAGGCTGTAAAACACACAGGAGGCAAATGTCAATCTTTCTTCAGTAAAAACAGCTGGTGGATTTGAACTGCCTGCCTTTGGATTGGCAAAGCATCTCTTTACCACTAGTATATGCTATAGGGGGAAATAAGGGCTTTCATTTTAGTGCTCTTGATTGGGAAAACACCAAAACTAGGTCTAATCAATGCATTTTGTCATCAAAATAAAATCCAAATTCACCGCAGTCAAGTTGAAACTGACACATAGCTGATCCTCCAGTGAGTTTTCAGAGATTATAATTCACAGGGGAGGAGATTGCCCATCTTTTTACCATGGAGTTGCTGGTGGAAGCCCAGCCTTAAGATTAGCAGTGTAACTCCTCATGAACTATCCTCAAAAGTCTCTCAATAGTTTCTTCTCTACTTCCAAACCTCTGGTATTCATCTTCCTAGTGACACCTATACCCAGTGTTGACAACTAAAGCAAGCATTTTATTAATTCCTAGGTCACCCCTGGTTCCACTTGTGTGATCTATGGACTTGGGGGAATTGGCTCAGCCATTGTCCTGGGATGCAAGGCTTCTGGTGCTTCTAGGATCATTGGCGTTGACATCAATGAGGAAAAATTTCCCAGGGCAAAAGCCTTAGGAGTTACTGATTGTCTCAATCCTCAGAAGCTCAAGAAGCCAGTCCAGGAGGTGGTGGTAGAAATGACAGGCTTTGGTGTTGACTTTGCCTTTGAGGCTGTTGGAAAAATGGAAACCATGGTAAGTAGCTTTGAGTGGGGGAAGTGTATTGCTTGTCAATAAATTGTTGTTATTGTTGCTGCTTTGTGCTATTGGGATGGAACTGACTTGTAGCTAATTACTCCTTAAGCAGAATTTCATAATAGCATGGGGTGGGGGTTGCCCATCTTTCTCTCCTGCAATGCAGTTGGTAGATTCAAACCATATGCCTTTAGGTTAACAGGAAATTCCTTACCATTTGGCTACCAGAGCTCTTTGTTTCAATACACAGGTACACACAAACTGGTTGCTGTTGAGGATATGGATACATAACAACTCTGTGTATATTAGAGTAGAACTGTATTTCATGGAGTTTTCTTAGATTGATCACCAGGCCTTTCTTTTTAAGTACCTCTGAGTACTTTAACTCAGTCACACAGGGATAAATATTGTATAAGACTGTTATTGTAGAAGGAGTATAAGAATCCAGGAGGGGTGGGAGAGGCTTGAAGAGATGTGGATGTATAGAGGGAAGTGGGGATTAGTCATTGGATTGTACAATTTTATGGGGGGGGGTTGTGAGGGAAATTGAAAGAATTTGTTCAAATTTATATTAGAATTCTGTTAATAAACTAGTGAAAAAAAAACCCAAAAACATACCTCTGGGTAGACTCAAATATCTAACCTTTCAGTTAGCAGCTGAACAAGCTAACTACTCACACCACCTAAGTACATATTAAGTATCCTGTTATAGAAAGTATTTGATAATATATTTCAGACCATGGAACTCAGATCTAAAAACAGAAGGTAAATTCACTCTAAAATAAACATTTTAAATACAGAAATAAAACTACTTCTTGCTGTTGTTGTTGTTATGTGCTGTTGAATTGCTTGTGATTCATAATGACCCTATATACAACAGCTCTGAACCCTGCTTTATCCTGAGCCAACCTCAGGTGTGTCTTTGACATACCTGAACCCACTACTCAAATCACTGGATTAATCCATTTCATCAAGGGTCTTTCTTGTACTGTCCCTCCACCGTCTAAAGCATGAACCCAAGAACCCACCCCTCATTGCAACATACCCCAAATATGTCCGATGAGGTTTCAGAATCCTTGCCTCCAAGGAGCAGCCTGGTTTCACCCTGTCTAGGATGAACCTGCTTGTTCTCCTACCAGCTGATGGTAATAGAAAATTGTATTATATTATACTATTGTTATCATTAAGTTGATATCAAGCCATGCATTCTTATGTGTGCAGACTAGAACTGCTCTATTGGATTTTTAGGCTGTGACTTTTGGAATCAGATTGCCAAGCCTGACTTGCAAAGAAGTTATAGATAGATTCAAAACACTGCCTTTTAGCTTATAGTGCCACTCTGGAGCCCCTCATTATACTGCACAAAGTTAAAAATTAAAAGAATGACATTCCAGTATTTTCTTTCTCTGTTCCTAGCCCTTTCTTTGTGTGTAGGGACTCTATAGTTAGTTATAAGTATTATTTGCTTCCATTTAATGTTTATATCATGCTTGGAAGGATTGAAGGAAAGCATGGGAGAAGACCCTGGATAAGATAGATTTACACAATAAATGAGGTTATGAGGATAGGTGTGTCAGAGAGAGTGAGACCTGGTCAGAATAGAGCAGGGTTCAGAACTATCATGCAGGGTTACTATGAGTCATAGTCACCTTGATGGTTGGATATGATGTCTTTTAGGAACTATATTTTCTTTAAGAAACACTGTGCTCACTATGTGTCAGATAGGATCATATTTTAAGAATGATAAATCATTTAGTCCTCATCACACCCTATAAAAGAGGATAAATGAACTGAGAAAACTAAGACATACAGAAGGTACAGTAACTTGCCAATAATACTTAGCATACAGGCCTGTGTTTTTCACCACTAAGTAATTCTCTAGTGAGAATTCTATCATTTGTAGGGTTGAAGGTGAAGTTAAAATACTTTCTTCCCCAGACGAGAGTGAAAATCCAGAGAATCAAGAATTTGTTAGATTGTGGTACATTCACATACCACAATACTATGTAGTGCTCAGGAGCAATTATTTTGAAAAATACTACATAACTTGGGAGAGACTGGAGAACAGTATGCTGAGTGAACTAACTCAGTCTTATAAGGACAAATACTGCATAAGACCATTACTTTAAAAATAGAAAGATAACTAGTAAAGCATATATGGGAGCTCAAGGAGAGAAGGGGTAGGAGTAGAGAGGTGAGGATGGATAGGTGAGAAACCGCAGGGTTGCACAGTTTGGTGGATGGAGTGAGCTCAGTAAGGATCTGGGTGAAAAAGCAGAGTGATGATAGGCAAGATCCAATGGCGATTAATTTTGTAAAACATAATGAATGAGAATGGTTGTATGAAATGCAATGTGAATGAAGAATTGTGTGAAACACAATGTATACAAACTTTGTAAGGAAATCAATAAAAAAGTTAGAGTAATAAATGGGTATCAGTTATGTATAAAAATGTGCTTGTGGTCATTACTTTCATTATTATTAGGCAGCTGCTTGGGATTCCTGTAACATGAGCTACGGTGTCTGTACAATCCTTGGGTTGGCTCCATCCAATTCTAAGCTTTCCCTTGATGCACAGATGATTCTTTCTGGACGAACACTGAAGGGTGTAAGTTTAGGAGGTAAGTTTGTAAATAGAAAAGGCCCAAGGGCTGCTTTCTGTGGGAACCCTTTGAACTTTTCAGAAAGATTAAAAATCAGAGTACTTCCCCTTGAGGAAAAAGATTTATGATGGTAATGATTCAAAGTCTCCTGCTCTGATGTGTTATGTATTTTTGTAAGCCAATTTTAACGAATTTGTTTTTTGGATTCAGTAAACATTTAAAAATGTAGAGTATCTGGTCATTATTTTTTTTTAACTTGGAATCATTGAGTTGACGTTTATTCTACTCTAGTGGATTCTAGTCATTCTAGTGGCCTAGGATTATGGAGCTGCTCTGTTAACCCAAAGGCTGAGTGATTTGAATCCAAAAGCTGCTCTGAGAGAGAAAGGTGGGCAATCTCCTCCTATGAGACTTACAGCTTCTAAAACCTGTTGGAGAGTTAGGTACAAGTTGATTCCTACTCAATGGCAAGTTTTGAGTTTTGAGCTGTCTCGCCAGTTCAAATTTTGCTATATCCAAAGCAATGCTTTTCAAAAAATAATATGGGCTATTATAGCATTTGTTTTTGTCTGCCCAGAGATGTTCTTGTTTCTGAACAGTATTTGCCAACAGCTTAAAGAAACTCACTTTTCCAAGTCTATCCACTGTGTTCATTGGAAGTTCCCCTGTTTTGTGAACAGCAAACTTAGATAACCACTGTACAGTGCTAAACCCAGCAGGTGAAGTTAGAGACTACCAGTTTTAAAGGACCAGTTTTTCTCCAGAGGGACTTTGGGCTCAGAACTGTCTGTAACAGCTACTTGCAGTTACCTAGTTTTCTAGGTCTACTATAATAAAATACCAAACACAGAGATGCCTTAAAATAACAACAATTTATTCTCTCGTACCTCTAGAGGCTCACACTGCAAAACCTAATCTTTATGTTGTCAGAATAGACTCATAACTGAACCTCCATTGGGTTTCTGAGGCTGTAATTTGCACAGCAGACTGTCTTATCATTTTTCCCTGGAGCTGTTTGTGAATTCAAACTGAGAGAGAGGCATGGCCTTTGGATTTGCAGCAAACTCCTTAAAGACTCACATGTGAATGGGAATCCCACAACTCTTAATTGTGTTCTTATAAAACCTCTACTTAGCACAAGAGGCTGTTAGGCAAACAGAGCAAGGGAACACTGCATACTTTAAAATTAGGAAGGTGTATCAGAATTGTACCCATTCTCCACATCTATTCAGCGTGTATGCTGAGCAAATTATTTGAGAAGCTGTACTCTGTAAAGAAAAATGTGTCATCAGGATAGGAAGAAGACTCATAAATAACCTTAATTATGCAGATGACAAAACTTGCCTTCTGAAAGTGAGGATTTGAAACACTTGCTGCAGAAGGTTAAACACGGCAGCCTTCAGTATGGATTGCATTTCAATATCAAGAAAACAAAAATCCTTGCCTCTGGACCGATAGACAATATCATGATGGATGAAGAAAAGATTGAAATGTCAATGACTTTGTCTTTCTTGGATCCACAATCAATGACCATTTGACACTAGCAGTCAGGAAATATTCCATTGGGAAAATCTGTAATCAGGGACCACTCCAAATTATTGAGGAGTTATAATGTCATTTTGAGGACTAAGATACAGCTGATTCAGGCCATGGTTTTTTTTTCATTCACTTATTATGTATCTGAGATCTGGATAATGACAAAACATGACAGAAGAATGATGACTTTGAGCTGTGGTTTTGGAAAAGAGTGCTGATTGATCCCATAGACTGCCTAAAGACTAGATATGGCTTGAAAAAGGTACAGTTAAAATGTTCCTTGGAGGCAAAGATGAAGAAGCTTCATCTTACATACTTTGGGCATGTTGCCGGAAGAAGCTATTCCTTGGAAAGAAACATCATGCTTGGGAAGGTAAAAAGGCACCGAAAGAGAGGAAGACCCTTAACCAGGTGGGTTGACGTAGTGACTGCAGCAATGAACTTGAGTGTTTCAGAGATTGTGAAGATGGCACGGGATAGGACAGTGTTCAGATTGGCTGTTTATATAGTCACAATGAGTCACACTCAACTCAAGTACACCTAACAATAATACAACAATAACCTTGCAGACCAAGCTATCAGACCTAGAAGTCTAAATCTACTGGCTGATGTCAGGATTTCTTTGAAAATTCTAAGGAAAAAAACTCCATTGTTTATTCAATCGTTACAGATGTTCTTTTTAAAATTATATTAGTCATGTTGGATTCTATCCCACTCCAATCACATATAACCCCATATTAACTAATTATACTTGTAATAACCCTCATCCAAATAAGGTCAAATTCACAGATTTTCAGGTTTGAACACATCTTTTGGGAAACACAAATCAATTATCAAGCTCGTAACAATTAGCAACAGTGCCAAGTGTTTCTGACATGTAAAATAAGTAAATATATATTAAAAATACCTTTCTTATTCAGGGAGATATTCGCCTTTTTTAATTTATTTGACTTTTTCTGTTTTGCTTAGTTTTATATTTCTCAAATTTTATTATCCCTTTCTGATCTTGGGATCTTTTTTGTTTTGCAGGTTATAAAACCAAAGATTGTATTCCCCAAATAGTAACTGATTATCTGCAAAATAAAATTAACATAGATCCATTAATTACCCATAAACTGCCTTTTAATCAAATCCACAAAGCTATGGACTTGTACTATTCTGGAAAAACGTGAGTATTATATATCTTTGAATATCCCTTATACACTGATAGTTCACACAAAAAGTGAGTCTTTAAATTGCCAACTTTTTTTCATGAGAAACTTGAACTGTCAATACCTTTCACACAATCTGCCATATTTTCTACTCTCATCAGTATAAGAAAAGGGTTTGCCTTTTTGGAAAGAACCAAATCGACTTTATCACAAAGAATTGTTGAATAAATCAGCATAACCTTAAGAACCACACTATAATGCATTTGTCAATTATCTATTCTTTCTTTGATTAAATAAATTATTTAACAAAATTAAGTGATATCTAAGAGTCATTTAATTTTTCAAAGAATCATGGAGCTGTTTGAGACAAAGGTTTAAATCTAACCTAGAGCCTAAATCCTTTCTATTTTATGTTCCATATATGAACAGCCTTTTTATACTAATACACCTTCCTAGGTGGATTTTTCACCTCATAATTATTTGTTCACTTAATGCATATTTGTTGATGAAATATCAGGCCTGTCTTAAGTGCTAAAGGTACATTGGGGAAAACAAATTTGAAATTTTAGCAGTTTACCAGGTGTAGGAACTAAGTATCCAGATGTCAGTAGATAAAGGAAAAACAAAGAAACCAGAAATACCCTTTCCTCTTCCTTCAAACCAGGGATGAGGAGATAAGATTCTAGGTCTAGGGAAACTGGTCAGAAGCTGCAGCAGAGTGGAAAGACATCTCGGTAGTCATGCAAAAAGAAGGATGCTCAGGGCTGGCTCCCTTCAGGGAACTTGGATCTCATGTTCACTAAAATCAGATCCCATTCAGCTAGGGGTGTTAACATAGCAGATGAATTAGAGTGAAAGTGAAGTCAGAGATGCAGGCAGATGGGCAACCAGACTCTTATGATATTCTGTAACTATTTTGTGGGAATCATTGTTTCCAAGACCAATCTAGTATTTTATTATTCAACTTTTCTATTTCAGCATCCGCTGTGTTCTGCTTTTCTGAAATCCAGATGATCAAAGTGCAGACCTGCCCTTGGTGACTTACTTCCTTTCCTGTTTCACCTCCCTAATAAAATTCAGAGGGAAGAAAAACTTCAGATTTTACTTGTGAAAAATGAAACAAGTGAAGCTTGAGTATAATTATTTAGAAAAAAAATACCCTTATAAATTTTCAGAGAATTGAGAAATCATTTATTCAAATATTTTTAAAACTAGAACTTAACTGATCTAATAACCTAATATATTCATCAACTGATCTGTCATCTGTGTATGAAATTTGCTGATCAATTAATTCCTTCTTAATCATCATATCTGTCAGATAACTTTGTAGCTTTCCTTCTGTGCTTGGGTTGATATAGACATTTGCCTGTTTCTACAACAAATTTGTAGAAGACTATCTCAAGGTAAAGTAAATAGTTTCTTATACTAGGGGTTTCCGACTCTCCCATACCTCTACCTACGAAATGATAGGCATGATTTATCATCTACTTTTAAAAGTACATTTAGGAAAATGTTTCTTTGCCACTTCCAGGGAGTAAGATAGAGGAACCCTCTCAGAGGACCACATGCTTATTTAATCTCATCATTTCTTCTTCAGGTCTTTTTCTCTTCACAAAACCAGTGTTGTTTAATCACTGGACTTGTAAGATTTTGAGAAGGGAAAAACCCAACCCCTCCTGTCCTGCTTCATCTCATACTATTCAGCTACTGAAAAAAAATTAATATTATTATATTTGCTAGTATATGTAGAATAATAATAAAAATTATGTTAAGTGGAAAAGTAAAATAAAACACCAAATCTACTGCATACTATATGATTCTAGTTTCACGAAATGTTCAGAATAGGTAAATACAAATAAAGAAAGTAGATTAATTGTTGTTAGGGACTGAAGGCAGGGAAGAATGAAGACAAACTGCTTAATGTATGTGTGATTTCATTTTAATGTAATTAAATATTATCATCTAATAATGGCAATGGTTGTACAATGTTGCAAATGTACTGAATTTTAAATTTTAAAATAGAAATTTAAAAAATAAATAGAATGAAAATGTTATGGCTTGTGAATTTTATCTCAAAAAACTTAGTACTGGAAATTTAAAAACGAACAAACAAGCAAACAAACAATGTGCTACATTGAGGAAACTTGCTATCAAGGAGTATTTTAAAAAGCAAGAATTCAATTTAAAGACTAAGACGCACATAAAACGAGCAAAGGAGAGAGCCATATTAGATCTTTACCAACTTCACAAAGGGAAACCGTCCCTGTCAACATTACTAACAACACAAAACCAAGTCTCATGAGGCCAAACATATACCCACATTCCTGCACCTCTTTCTACTCATACCAGTACTCACCTTATTGCTTTATGGGTCAGTAGCTCACAGACCACACAGAACCATAGTGAGAAAGTCAAAAGGGTATAATTCAGATTCGTAGCAGAATATAGTTAGGACAACTCCCAAAATGTGCTTGTGGGCACCTCAGCCTTGAGTCTTGTGACTTTAGGCCAGTATTACAAAGTTTTCAATCTTGCCAATACTGTCTCCTTTCTGCAAAAATCCTCCAAAAAACTTAGTCAAGAGGCTCTTAGCTCTGGTTCAGTGATGTAGCAGTCCCAAGGTCTGCTCCATCTCATGTCAGGTTTTGGTTCTCTGCTGTGACTGCTATGGCTGTTGCTCTTTTAAGCCCTATTCTGGCTGGCACAAGAATCTCTGGCCCTAAAGGACGCAATGCGTTGTCTTCCTTCTCCTTTGCTGGTAATGAGGTTTCTTCTATTCTGCCACTAGATCTGTTTAATTTAATGGTGAGAGTAGCCAATTATCTTGAGGATTGGCGAGACAGTCAAAACCATTGTGGCTACTTTAACACACCCTATTTACATATTTCTGGCTGTTCACATGGCAAAATAAGTTAGTGGATAGGGTAGCCATTTGAACAACAAACCCTTAACACTACAGTGCACCTGATGTGAGCCATGATATTTTCAGTTGTTTTCTGTACTTTGAAAAGTTGGACAATGAATGAGAAAGACTGAAGAATTGATATCTTTGATGTATTAAATATAAAAAGCAAGAGGAAACTATACAACCAGTATAAAAAACAGTATGAGGTTTCTTTGAAAAATAAAAGTAAAGTTACCTTATGATTCATCACTCTCACTTCTATGTATTATGGACTAGAAATCTAATGGAAGAGTTATGAACAGATATACACAAACTTGGAAAAAGTGAAACCAAAGTGCTCTTTGGAAGTATGTTGCTACGAGAAGCTATTCTTTGGAAAGGGACAAAATGCTTGGAAAAATGGAGGGTCAGTGAAACAGAGACAGACTCTTAACAAGGCAGATTGACACAGTGACTGCAGCAATGGGCTCAAGTGTGTTAGAGATGATGACAGCATGGAACAGATAGTATTAAGATCTGTTGTTTAAAGAATTGCTATGAGTTGTACTCACCTAGAAAGCACTTTAAACAAGTTTACAAATAAACATCTTTTGAATATTCTCTGCTTTCTGCCAGGATTGACCTCATAATAGCAATGATATCCCTTGTGTTACCGTTTTTCAATTCAGCTTGCCTTTCTGGCAGTGCTCTGTCACTATACTGTTTCAGTAATTTAAAAATAATCTTCAGCAAGATTTTTTTGTGTGTGATATTAATATTATTCAATAATTTCCACATTCTGTTGCATCAACTTTTTTTTTAAATGGGAGATTTATAATTGTTTTTCTTATGAAAGTGAAGTCATACAATATTATTCCAGAAGGATTTAACTAATTAATTCAACATAATGGTCTCCAGATTAACTACATTGTAATACATATTTTTGAGGAATCAAGACAAGATCCTCAACACAATGGATTGATACGGTGACTGTAGCAATTGGGTGTGTCTCCAATTGTGGGGATGGCGTAGGATAGGGTAAGTGTTAGATCTGTCATTCATAAAATTGCTGTGAGTCACAGAGAGAGTTCTGCTGGCCGAGTGGATAGAAAGTTAGTTACCAAGCCAAAGGTGGGTGATTTTAATCTGCGGCCATCAGGTCTGGTTTTGTTTTTAGTCAAACATTCTGCTAAGTAGTAGAGCACTGGTCTGTGCACTGCTGTACAGTTAACTCGTGGTTGCTGTGATGCTGAGCACTGTGACACTGATGTGTCAAATGAGATAATGGTTGCCCATGATGGACAGTGTTTGGTGGAGCTCCTTGGTTAAAACAAACTTGGAAGCAGGAGTGGCAGCCACTTCAGAAATAGCTTGCCTCCAGAAACTCTATAAACTTGGAGAAACAATGAAAGCAATACAAGTGTTCAGGTCTTTTGTTCATAGGGTTGCTATGAGTTGTCTAGAACACAATGGCGCTTAACAACAACAACATCATTCTTCTGGCTACTTAGCAACCTATTGTATGCATGTATTGCATCTTTTTTGCTGTTGTTGTTCATTCATTTGTACATGAACACTGACAAAAATCGTTTCTGTGATTTTGCTATTGGGAATAGAGCTATAACAAGCCTAATTGTTGTTGTTGTATACCAACGAGGCCAGGCAATAGAGAGGCGACTCGGGGCAATAGCGTCTGACACGCCTACAGGTATAAGCCTCAAGGTCAAAATCGGTTGGGAGGCATATAACAACATAACAACAACAAAACACACGCACACACACACACACACACACACACACACACACACACTGTTGTTCCCTGGTGATGTTCAGGGATGAATAAGAGCAGAAAGGGACTCATCCTCTAGATACTGTTATTACATTATGCCATAAATTCTGAACCAATTCATAGCTGACCAGAATTTCAGAGGCTATAGATTGAATGGTAGGAGATTTCCCATTTTTCTCCTACCTTGTGAAGCAGTTGGAGTATTTGAATCATCTGCCTCTGAGTTGGTTGTAACTTTTACCACTAGGCTACCAGAATTTCTGTTTTATATATATACACATATATTTCTGTTATTACAGGTCAGGAACTTATACTTGAATTATCCTTATATTGAGTAAATCCTCTGCTCCATGTGTCCTCAACTGCAACCACTAAGACAGACAGTGTAATAAGGCCAATAATATCTGTATTTATAAAATTATGTAAATTTTAGAGTAGAATAATACAGTAATTAAGCATCAAAC